GCCCATGTTGGAGTTTCCCACGCCCAGGCCACCAGAGTTAGGAAATGGAACGCCGCCGTCTCCAAAACCTTTGCTAAGCGCACTGACCTTTTGCACAAGGGATATGAGAGCTTCCTTTGGCCTATTTTAAAAAAGTTTCGCAAGGGCCGGCCAGACCTCCGAATCTCTTTTATACGAGCGTGGCGCTGCGGCAATTGTAAGATGTGCTTCAAAAACCTTGCTTGTGTCAACAATCATAAAACTTGCAAAGCTGTCACTGCAGCCAATGGCCGCAAACGCAAGCTTGCCGATCTTGCCAAGGTCCGCACTTGGTGCCTGAAGCACCCAAGCAAAAATACTATGTCCGAGGCTGAGACGCTTAAAATCTTTGCATTGGCCAAGCAAGCCCTCCAGGGGCGTGAGCTCCAATCGCAGGTGTGATCAGGGTTGCCTCTTGCAACCTCGCTGGAGCTGGCATCTCACGAACAGTCTTGACCCTCCAGCACTTAAAGGATTTTAATCCCGATATCATTTCCCTTCAAGAAGTTGACATTCCCAAGCGCTGTGCGGCAGCATACGCTAGGGAATGGAGAACCCTTGGATGGCAAATCGTCTTGGCAGCAGCCGAGCCACACTCAGGATTGCACCGGGTTGCCGTTGCTTGCCGCATTCAGTGCCGCCCCGTCAGCCTGACAACTGAAATTGCGAGGACTCGCCATGCAGCCATTCTCGTGGAAACCCAGGCTGCACACACCCGCCGACCTCTCCTCATGGTTGCTATTTACGGGTTTTCGGGGGATCCTCCCACCACCAACCTCATGGTGGATGAGCTCGCGGCTGCGTGCTATGCATTCCGAGGGCCACACATTCTGTTCGGTGATTGGAACATGACTTCAGAAGAAGGCTCGATACAAAATCACTTGATGTCCGGAGCCCTCAGGTCCATGGACGATCCCTTCCCCATGGAGCTATGCTGCACAAACCCGGGCCGAACGCGGCGCATAGACTACGGTTTGAGCGATCCTTCGATCTTCCCCACTGAGCTGTGGCACCATGAAGGTTTATGTGATCATACCACCGTAGGCTACTGCCTCAACCTTACGATTAACTTTTCAGGTTTTGAGCTCCCCCCTAGGGCCAAAATCAGGGATCGATCTAAGGAGGATATACACAAATCCTTCAGCGAATGCTGGCCTCACCAAGCCTTCGAGCAGGCCCTTCATGCAGGCAACACCGACGAAGCATGGAGGTTGCTATCGTGGACCGCGGAGCAATGCCTCTGTGATCTTAGTGCCAAGCCCGGCACCGTGCCCCGCTCGGATTCCTGTGAGCCGCAACCCAAGCAGCTCCCAAAACCTTGCATCACCGTCCACGGTCGCGAATCAAAGGGGCTGCAGGGTTTAAGGCGCTTAAGTCACCGGTTGCAGGAGTTGCGACGCGACCCCTCTAACTTGAGCCTCCGCAAGAAGGTAAAATCATCTTTGCAAGGAGTTCGCTTGAGCGTGCCGGACCTCCCTTCGCTCCCAGAGGGTCATGAGGAAACGGCTTTGCCCAGCGTTAACGAACTGCTGGAGGCTTACGTGGCACAGGAACGCTCCGCTGCCATGGCTCAGTGGAGGCAGCGACTTCAGGTGCAGCCCAACAAGCAAATCGCTTGGGTTAAAGCCCGCGCCCAGCAGGCTTGTGATGCGGCCGCCGCGCCACCGGAGGTCAGCAAAGCCATCTCGGCGATACATCCGACTTCCATCTTGCAGCAACATGGCAAGGCGTGGGCAGAACTGTGGACTGCGCCAGCAGGCTTAAACTTCACCACCCCTACCATGCAAAGCATCCTTGAAACAGTGCCAAAAAGGGCCCCTTTTTCAAATGAATTTCCTGGCGAATTTTCTTTTGAACCGGAGGAACTGATTGCAGTCGCAAAACAAATGAAAGGCAAAGCGGCGGGGCCAGACGCGTGGAAGTCTGATCATCTGCTTGAATTACCCATGCCCTGGTGGGCCCAGTTCACACGCCTTTGGAACTCCATCCTGCAGGGAGCCCAGACGCCGATGCAATGGCGCCGCGGCCTCGTGGCATTGTTACCCAAACGGGTAACGTCAACACGCCCGATCGGGCTTCTCCAGGTTGCTTGGCGCATCGGCGCAAAATGTCTTTGCAAACGTTTAAGAAAATGGATCCTCTCCTGGGTCAGCCCGAGTGCCTTCGGCGGGGCTCCGGGATTCTCAACCGCAGACTCACACCTTCGAATTGCTTCAGCCCTAAAAAGGCAAGTAAATTCTTTTGTCGTGCAAGATTTAAAAGGCTTTTTTGATCATCTTCAACTTAACGCCGTAATCCCGATCCTCAGACGGCTCGGTGCACCCAGCTGCTTGGAACACATCTTGAATAGCGTCTACTCGGGTGCCGAGCGGCTCTTCGTTGCAGGCGGATTTGCGGCCGCAGCCTGGACTCCTGTCTCACGAGGCTTGGTACAGGGGGACCCACTAAGTCCTTTATTGGCGTTGGCTGTCAGCGTGGCTTGGAGCTCTTACGTCATACAAGGCCCAATCCGAGGCCTTATGTATGTGGATGACAGGCTTCTTTGGCCGGAGCAGAGTGCCAACCCTGCCCGAGCCATTGGGCAGGCGGTGGAACGATCCACCAGGTTCGACAGAGCTTTCTACTTAGTGTGCGAACCCACCAAATGCTCTGTCATTGCAGCTCCTGGCGACACTTCCCTTCAGGACTTGGCGGAACGGCAGGGCTACATGCAGAAAACTTCGCTTGAAATTTTAGGCGTCGAAATCGACTTGTCGGGAAGCACCCCCAAGCCGCTCAGGTTGGTGCTAGATCGTGTGCTGTGGCGCCTCCGCTTCATCAAATACCTTCCTGTGCCCATCCACCGAAAAACTCAACTCATGTGGACTTTGGGGTTTTCGGCTGTCTTTTGGTGTGCTGGCGTTGCTTCCCCGGGCGATGCCGTTCTCTCCACCATCAGGTCCGAGGTCCTTGCTGCATTTCGCAGAAGCTTCACTCCCGAGGTGCCGTACTTCTTGCAGCACTGCATGATGGGATGGAACACAGACCCCTTTTTCATGCAAGATTACACAGCCCTTCGTCGTGTCCAGTCCTTCGTTGCACAGCGACCTTCTTGGCTTGATGATGTGCCACTCCGGGAGGCCGTCGATCCGTGGTCGGATCTGTTTCCGGTGGCGGCTGAGGCGGTCCGAAAACACAAGTGGACCATCCTTCCTCATGGCGAGGGCCTTGCCAAAACCGATAGCAACGGGTGCCGTCGAGTTTTTCGCTTTGGATTCTCTTCCTTGAAGGTCCTGCGCCAGTGGCTGGAGGAAGAATACGTGCGACAGGGCGTGCACAATGCCGGTCGCATTAAAGCTTCGCACCACAGGGTTGACCCTAATGCCGCTTCGGGTTTTAGTCTCCCTAAGCCCCCTAGACAGGCCTGGTTTTGTTTTGCCGCGCATAGAAAAATCTTTCTTAATCCCGAAAATCTTGCGCAAAAACGTGCCGCAGTCGCAGCTGGAGCCAGTTTTTGGCACACGCACTGCGGGTCCCACCGCCCAACACCAACTGATGCAGATAAAGTGTGCATGTGCGATAAGCTTGAACCGTCGAGAGCGCACCTCACGTGGTGCTGCCCGGGCCTAAGCACATTGCGCGAGACCAACCCGGTCGTTCCTCCGTCTGATCGCGCCTCTGAAAGGCTCTTTGCCCCTCCGCTTGAGACTTTCCCTGCTGCGCCTGAGCCAGTGCCCTTGCAGCATGCACAGCTTGCCGATGCTATTCGCAATCTTCTGGCGGCAGACCAGGAGGCTCAACCATGCATCGCCACCGACGGCTCGCACCTTGAAGACGTGGCTGGCTCTGCAATCGTTCTTCACCAGGCTGGTCGTTTCTCGACTTTTGCTTTTGGCGACGACGACGAAGACCAGTCCAGTTACCGTGCCGAGCTTCTGGCCCTCCGTGAGTTAGCCCAGACGTGCGTTGTAGCTGCCTTGGCTGGGGCACGAGGCGAAGTGTACGTCTTGGTGGACTGTCAAGCCGCGCTTGCTGCACTTAAGTCGCGGTCGTGTGCGACCCTTCAGCTGCTCGTGCAACAAATCGCCACACATCTTGAAACTTCCACCAGATGCGGTTTAAAATTGAATCTGCGATGGATGCCCGCACATGGACGTCAAGCCACTTGGACGCCAGACTTTCCCTTGCCAGTTGACTTGTGCAGACTGCTCAATGACAAAGCCGATGCCGCTGCGCGTGCAGTGATGCATCAACGGCATCTCAACTCTGCCCGTGCCACTTGGCATAGACGACGACGCGAAGCCATTGCTTGGAGTACCCAGGCGATCCACCTCTCAGCACTCGTTGGCCAAGCTTACAGCCAGTGGTGTGAGCAACGACGCCTTGCAAGACCCCAAAATGGGCAACACGATGACGACGACGCAGCTGCTGATGGGGCGGCGGCTGCTGGGGCCGCTTCTTCGGGCGCGGTGGCTGCTGGCGCAGTGGCTGCTGACTCGGTGGCTGCTGGAGCGGCGGCCGCTGGCGAGGTGAACTGAGTGCCACCACGAGCTCCTCTGAAACACTGTGTACAGTTTGAGTGCTTGAGCCTGCTTGTAGTCTCGCTCCTTCTGTAGTGGCACTGGCAGTCTGCTGTTGCTTCCGACTACGTAGTTCACGAACTCTTTGAAACATTCTCTAGCTCAACAAACCTAGCTAGAGTGATGTTGGCATGACTTTTTGTTCAGTCTCATGTTCATGCCGACATGTCTTGAGGTAGCTGTTCTCTCACGGCTTGTACAAACTGCGACTTAGTACCACTCTTCGGGCCCAAGGAGGCCTCGGCACACGAGGCTGACTCAGCCTGACCAGTGACGACCCAAAGAGTTCAAAAGAGCGTTCGCATCACAGAAAGACGCATCTGGATGCGTGTGTCCAGTCAATCCAGCAACAAGCGTCGTTTGAGTACAGAATCTGTGCGCATCTTGGGACTGTACGAGTCCTGGCTACTTTACATGAGCCCTATGATCAGCATGCGTCCGGCATCAGTGTTTCCAATGGAAGCACAAGCAGATGCCAGTGCCCAAGGTCAGCGGGCTTGCATTGGTGGATTCGTGTCGCATCCTTCGTTAGGGCAAAGGTGGTTCAGGGAAGAATTCACGTATGAGGAATTCCGCGAGCTTCAGATTCCCGTTCAGCAAGATATGCAGCTTGACATTGCGTGCTATGAAGCGCTCGCTCAAGGGGCGCTGATTATCGCATCTTCAGCCTTGATACCTTGCTCTAGAATCAAGCTTCGGACGGTGTCAGACAACAGTGGAGCCGAAGCAGGTGTGAATGCATCTTTTACGACTTCACGCCCACTTGCATATTTCCTTGAACGCATTTCTTTGCTTGCCGCAGTTTACCGTACCACTCTTGACGTTTCCCATATTCCTGGGGAGAAAACACCAAAGCAGATGCACTTTCAAGACCGGGTGAACATGAGATTCCCCCAGATTGCCTCGATGTTGATCGCATCAGGCTTCGTCTCAGTGATCTTTGGCTGCCTAGACCAGCCATTTCTATTTCGCCAAGCGATGCTTCGCTGGCTTGGACCGTGCGAGCCCCAGGAGTGCCGAACAACCTCACATAGTTTTGGGCTTTTCGGGAGCGAGGTTGCTGGGTAGTTCTATTTGGGCAAAACTCAGCCACCCATCAACCTGCATGCTTCGGGTCTCACTCGTTACGACATGTGAGACAAATCGGCACTCCTGGAAAATACCTCAGACTCCATGCGATGCTTTGTTGCACTTCAGCTTAAAGCCTTCGGCATTCCGCTAGCAAGCACAACTAAACCTTCAGAACGTTGTGTGTATTTATTCACATATGTTTTATAGTTTATGTGTGCGAAACATTTTGGCTCAGTAAACAGTTGTGCTTGCTAGCGGATTCGAAAAGCCTCACCCTCCCACCCAGTTTCACTCGTCTCACAAGGCATTGGCCACCAGGTGAGGTCCACACGTTTGATTCGTTTCTCCTCAACGAATACAGCCTTATCGCAACTGGTCTCGCTTGCAGCTTCGTTTCACATCCGAACAGTATTGTGCTCGCGTACATCGGTCCCACAGCAGTATATCATACCCTTTTCAGCGCGCTTCTATCCGTCGGGTATACACGGTATCACTCGAATGTTCGTTTTCTTCTGCTTTACGTTACTGCTGTAACGCTAGTGTGGGCGGGCAAAACTCAGCCACCCATCAACCTGCATGCTTCGGGTCTCACTCGTTACGACATGTGAAACAAATCGGCACTCCTGGAAAATACCTCAGACTCCATGCGATGCTTTGTTGCACTTCAGCTTAAAGCCTTCGGCATTCCGCTAGCAAGCACAACTAAACCTATAGAACCGTGGAAACCTTCCAGCAGGTCGTCCCGATCGAAAAGCCCAAGCAGGAAGGTGTGGAGGGAATAGGCGTGCCGTGTCCGGTTTGCGGGTTCTACTACGATAACCAGACCAGCGTACGTAAGCACCTTAGGCGCAAACACCCCGACTACCAGATGCCGGAGATCAAATTTGACCCGGCTGAACATGCCATTGGAGGCCTACCGCAGTGTGCTGCATGCAAGCACCGTTTCCAGAGCTGGCAGGAGCTAAAGGTCCACATAGAAAAAGGCCGATGCCACCAACAGGACGTGGATACCCGGGAGCCGAACACCGGCCCCACACAGGATGTCGCCCCCTCTCTGGCAAACCCCACACTGGCTGCCCAGACCACCGAGGAGAAGCCGCGATTGCCACCGCATCGCAACCCAAGAGTAGCGGACTTGATTCGTGAACAGGGCTGGGAAGCCCTTGTGAGCAGTGAGCACGCGGAGGACCTAAAACAGCACTGCTGCATTTGTGCCAGATGGATGGTTGACACAACGTCCATCAAAAGACACATGAGAAACTCCCATCCTGAAATCTGGAAGCAAGTCTCGGAGCGGCTCGAAAGCACCTGCACTGTCTTCAAGCCCCGGCTCACGCGCGACGGGACATGCCCTTGCTGCAAACGCACTTCCTATAACCGTCACTTTAAACAGTGTTGTGTCATTGTGCAGTCTGCGATCCTCGGACTCATTCCCAGCCATGTCGACAACACAGGAACAAATCCAGATGTTCGGCTACCTGCTGCCGGGGCTGAGCGAATCCAACAAGCGACCTCCAGCAACGCCGCAACAGCAGAGCACCAAGGGGGAGGAGTCCGGCAAAGGAGGGGGCAAGAGACGGCGCACGCGCCGAGGACAGGGGAGCCAGAGTTCGGCCCCGGCGGAAGCACTGAAGAAGGACGGCGGCAAGCTCCTCAATCTGATCTCACGCATCCTGCTCCAGCACGAGGACAGCATCAACGCCGCCAAAATGGATCGGGGCTTCACGGTCTTCATGGCCCAGACGGGACCGGCAGGACTACTCACCAGCCTTTACCAGGCAAGTCTCGCTTGGAATCAGGTACGGGAGAACGAGCCGGCGAAGATCACACAACCGCTACGAATCACGTTGCTAACCTTGATGATCGCGGAGCTAAAGGTGCGCCTCCAGAATCTGGAAAAGAAGCCGGAGGCAAAGCAACTGGCCATCAGTGCGGGCTGGCTGGATCAGCAAGACCGGCTGCAGTACCAAAAGTGGGACGCAGAAAACAAAAAGCTGATACCTCATCCCACGATGCCAGGCCTAACGATCACGGAGGTGATGCTGAACCTGACAGAGATCGAGCCGCTCATTCTGGAGTCCTTGGTGTTGCGTTTTCACGCGCCGCGAAAGCTCAAGCCAACACCGGAGACGGAGAACAAGGCGGTCTTCAAGTTGGAGGTCTCACTTCGAAGCACAGAAGCAGATCAACTATACCAGAGCCTCGCGAAGCTGGAGAACAATGCAGTATGGCAACTCATAGGATGCCAGCTCAGAAAGGACGGCATGCGCCGATCCAACCCAGTGCAGGAGCTGATGAAGCTGCTCAGCCAGGGAGGCCGGCCCCTAATAATACACAACACTTGATACTGCAGGCTTCACTCCACAACAGCTCCAACACGTGCTATCTCAATGCCTGTCTTCATGCACTCATGTGGCAGGTGACGATGATGCAGAGTGAACTTACTTTGCCTCAGGCTTGGCTAAACGCCCTTGGTGCAGTGGATGTCAAACCGCTTGCTCTACTCAGGTTCCACCTGCTGGGGTGGGGACAACCACATGTGCAACACGATGTGGCTGAGCTTGCATCGCATCTGCTACGGAACCTGAGCTGGCTACCATGTCATCATGTGTAGTCTCGTGGTGCCGCCGAGTGCAGGTGGACGGGGGCTATCAAAATCTGCAGGCAATGCAGGACTCCCGATTGCTAATCCTTGATCCCGCGACTGGTCTACAAACACCGGTATTACAGGAAACGATTATCTCCTGGCACGGGGTCATCGCAGTGCAGGCGCTACACGAGGCGCCACAGATGCTGCGGATCCAATTGCCGAGGTTTGTGCAAAACGGAGCCCGAACTCAAAAAGCCAAGCAATCAATCCACTTGGATGCCCAACACCGCTGCATCCGCCTACCTGTGTTCGCCTCAACTGATGCCTCAAGGGATGATTCCATCAATTGGTGTGATTACCAGGTGAACGCAGTGATTTACCACATAGGTGCAACAGTCAGTGCCGGGCATTATCGCACCATGTTGTTTCATCCACAGGCAAACGGGGGCTGGCACACCGATGATGGCAAACCAGCTACGTGGTGCAAAGCCGTGCCGAAACAAGTAGAAAGAAACTGCTACCTGGTGTGTGCGACCAGGCTGGTCAGCAGTGAACGGCTCTGACGCAGCTAGGGTAGTTTTTCTGGGAGCCGTTCCTCGGCCCCATGTAGAACCGCGTAGGGTCAGCGTTCAGTGCGCTGGAGTTCCGTCCTGAGTAAGACACTCGTGTCCTCAGGATACGGGGAAGGGGTTACACTTAGTTCTGCTGCCACTGAGCAGCCGTGGCGAAAGGTCACGTAGTTCGCTAGACAGAGAGACTCTCGTCTGCGGTTGAAAGTGAAAAAAAAGACAAGCCATCCAGGCTGGACTTCACAGGCCTTCAACCGGAAGCGTGCATCCAGGACACGCGCGTGATCGAGCAAGTCGGAGACATCATCAACAGCATCCAGACCACTCTCGGGAGTAACTCTGACTGACCAAGGAAGGGTATATGCCTCCCCCTCAGACCAAGAGTGGGTCGATCTCGGCTCTTTCACCTGTTAGCAGCTCGGACAGGAACGCTCAAAGACAGAAGCTCAGTGACTGGCAAATCCCCTTCCTTGGAAAAGAAACCGTCGAGTTTGGTAGCTTGCATCAGTTGCATGTCGGAGCAGGTTGCATGAAGTCGATGTGGAACACGTTGCATCAGCAGAGACGCATGTTGGTCTTGGCTTGAGTTTGAACATGATTTTGTGTCAAGGAAACTGAGTTTAGAGTTTTCTTTGGAAAGATTCTTATGCGGAAAATAAGGTAATCGTGCTGTAAGTACAAACCTTTATTTTCGGGAGAAAAATTTTCGAATCTTTATGATGAGAAAATTTCGGCTTACAGAACCTGCGCATCCCGAAGTTGGGAGTGAAAATTTTTCTTGCCCACCCACCCACGCCTGAGGAACAGATGGCCAAGACTTTGACGGACCTTCTCAGTTTGCCTGAGGTGTGGATCTGTGTTGCAGATTGCCTGCGAGTCAGGCGTCAGCGACGCCTGAGAGTTGCCTGTCACCTGTTCCACGAACGCTTCAGGCAGCTGTTTCAGGCAAGCGGCTACACAGACAGCGAAGACTACAGCATTGAGGATGATGAAGATCCCTGAGACTCTTGCGCCTGGCGCTGAGTCCTTCCGTTTGTACTTTCTCGCTTTGCTCCGACAGGACGTCCGCTAAGGCTATTCTGAGAGGTAGCAGGGTTGAAGTCAGTTTTCACCAGAGTGCCAAAAGGGTCGATCTCGGCTCTTTCACCTGTTAGCAGCTCGGACAGGAACGCTCAAAGACAGAAGCTCAGTGACTGGCAAATCCCCTTCCTTGGAAAAGAAACCGTCGAGTTTGGTAGCTTGCATCAGTTGCATGTCGGAGCAGGTTGCATGAAGTCGATGTGGAACACGTTGCATCAGCAGAGACGCATGTTGGTCTTGGCTTGAGTTTGAACATGATTTTGTGCCAAGGAAACTGAGTTTAGAGTTTTCTTTGGAAAGATTTTTATGCGGAAAATAAGGCAACTGGCAGGGAGCTGAGGCTGATCCCGCGCTTCTTCAGGAACTCATAGAAGAAGAGGTGTCCTCCGGGTACATCGAGGAAATGCCCAGCTTAGAAGCCGCTTAGCAGAGGTGGGGCAAAGATCGTGTTGCAGTTGGCCGTGTCAATATCGTCAAGGCTCCAGGTCGTGCTCCCCGCTTGGTGATAGATAACAGCATCTGCAACACGAACCAGAATTGCCATGTTCCTGAGCAGTTCTCCCTGCCCAGCCTTCAGGATATACAGGCCGCTTATCCGCCGCGCGAGGATGAGGAGCCGGTTTCTGGATTCAGCTTAGATGTGAAAGGAGCGCACAAAACCTCACTTGTGCGGGAGCAAGACAGGGGGCTGCTTGGACTCCGGCAGCAAGAGCGCCTCTTCTTTTACCGCGTGTGTCCCTTCGGGGCCACTTTTTCAAGCCACTGGTTTGCCCGCTTGGGAGGCTTCTTTGTGCGCTGCCTACATCTACTTATTTGGCTGTCACACGTCCTCATGTTGTACGTAGATGATCTTCTCCTTCGGCAAAACTCCCGCGTCTTGCCACTTAGCTCTTCCCTGGTGCTGGCTTTCTGTTCCTGCTTCAATATCCCGCTTAGCTGGCGGAAACTGCAGATGGGGCCTTCCATAACCTGGATAGGATGGCAAATAGACTTCAGCGCCGGCTGCTACACGCTGCCTGAGGCAAAAAGCTTGATAAACTGCTGGGTTTGCTTCAATGGATACTACACGGGCTACCCGCTTTACGCCCTTGGCTATGTTCATTATATGATGACATGCGTAGACCGCTGGGCACCAACGTGAGCATTAGCCCTTGCACCTGGCCAGGTATCCATGCTTACCTTGACGACAAATTCCGCTTTACAGGTACTCCGCCGGGCACTTGCATCTCGGCAGGTTCCACTTTGCTGTCTGCGCGACACAAAACCCTACGCAGCAAGGAGGACTTACCAACAGTTCCTGTCAGTACCAAGCGCATGTGGCTTCGAGTGTCAGATCCTACGTCTTCAATACGGCTCTTGTCCGAGTCAAGCAGAGAAACCCTTGCTTTCTTTGCCCACTTGAGCTCCAGGGAATGGCGACCGAGACCATTGCACCATCCACCGGCCAGCCCAGTGGAGTCCGCCGCAGACGCTTTTTGCAAGGGCAATGATTGCGGGGTGGGCGGTTGGCTTCGGCTACCATCCGGGCGCCTGCTTTGGTTCTCACATCGCTATACGGTCAGTGGCTTCACCAGCTTAGGTCTGCCAATGCAACCCGACGCCAACCTGGACATCTCCAGCTACGAGACCCTGGCACAATGCTTTGTGCTTCTCGCTTTCTTGAAAGCGCATGGCTCGGGTCGCTTGGCTCTGACATTACCTGCTTTGAGCGATAATAGTGGGGCTGAGTCGGTGTGTAACAAGCTTTACACCTCCAAAGCTTTCCAAAGTACCACTTAATCTTTTCGTTCGCAAGCTTTCTATGTGGAGCTCTGTTACCGGCGTCACTCTGGATTGCAGCCACATCTCTGGCGAGAAGAACGGTGATGCAGATCTGCTTTCTCGATGGGATGGCTCCAACGACCTACCCGAGAAGTTCAACGCTACGAACCGCATTGAGCTCGCTTTCTGAGTTCTGGCATGTGAGCTTTCAAGTGCAGCTTTGCCCTCTTTCAACATTTTTAAAGTGGCAGCTTCCTGCAAAGCACAGCTTGGGGCCGACTAACAGAGGCTCCAACAAGCGCAAGTAGTACAGCTTTGAAGCTCCCTCACCTCACTTCTCCACTTGGCTTCTAAAGCGTCTTGCGAGGTTTCGGCTTGCCAGTTTCTTGCTTGGGCTTTTCGACTGCTCCGCAGCTCCAGCTTTCGATCCGGAAGGTCGAAGACCCCGGAGACTTTCAACAGACAGAGCAGTCGAGTTTCCGGCAAGCCGAAAAAGAAAGGCAGAAGTGCGAGTGAAGCCACTGTCGACTTTTGCTTTCCGCTTTGTAGCTTCGCAGTAGCCTCGTAGCCTTTTGGTGTTGCGTGGTGTAGAACTGTCTTGAACCAAGAAAGAGCTTGTGGGATCACTCCTTCTGGTTTCTTACATCAATCTTCAGTTTTGGGCTCGAACGTTCAACATTCTCACTCTTACTAGGCTTCTACAGTATGTTTCTGTTTTTTTTTGTATTGTTTTTCCCTGTTTGTCTAGGTGTAGTTTCCCATGCTGTTCTCCTTCAAATTGTTCACGTGTTTAGTCGTTTTTTCCAAAATCTAACATAATCAATATTCCCTTGCTAGGTGTCACCTATGCAACAGCTTACTATGCAAAATCAAAAATTTTCTTTCGCTTCTCTCGAAACCTTGTGATTGCATCCCCCAACAAACCGCTCCCACTGTGAGGGCTAGAAGATCTGTAAGTCAGGAGCAAAAGAAACGAGGTCATAGATCTCCAGCTGGAGGAAAACATGCCGTCACATGCGATTTGTGCCATGCGCCGGCACTTGTTTGCTTCGTCGCCGAAAAGCATGCCTCAGAAGGAGCTGCTCGGCGCAACAGGGCTCCCACGTGGAGGGCCAGAGAGAATCATGGCTGTCAAAGGAGCATCGCAAGCTTTGAAACTGGGAAGAACAGCAAACTGAGCTCAGGCCGAGACGTGATAGTGCGGAATGGCTAACCTTCAAAAGTTTGGCCAGCGGGAAAGCTTAAGAATCCGAAGTGTGCCAGATGCTGGAATCATACAAACATGCCCTACGGTCCGATGGCGGTTTGGAAAAACAGAAGCCATGGTTTGCCAAGTTTTTCAGGTCGCTCGCCTACACATGCTGATCGAAAATTTGAGCAAGACGGTTTCCAGTTGCTGAATGCAGTGGCAGATCGAGTTTTGGGCTTTGGGTTGGTCGGCTGAGGGTCCGGCTTCAGCGGAGTACAAGTGCAAGTCCTGAGCCCCTGAGAACAGTCCAACCGCCAAGCTTGAACAACTTGTTGCAGCACATTTAATCTCAAGTGGTCAAGCAAGAGTACATCGCCCGGCGCACACCATGTCCGCAGC